TTATCTTGGGAAAAGAACGTTGCAATAATTGGAAGCTAATAACTGTGGCTAACGTGAACTAGAGAAAAATATTTATTTCATAATGTGAATTTCCCCCCCACTTGCCATTGTTTTACTTCAATGAAAGGTTAGAATTTTGTATTTTTTTTTTTATTTTTTTTTAAAGAACGGTCAATAGGATAAACAATGCAGATGTATTTTCACAGCCACCTTTGCTCATATTTACCAAGGGTGCCAATATTAGTGGGCGGCACTGTGTGTGTGTGTGTATATATGACTATTTTATTAATATGAATTACAATGAAAATAATTTAAAATGTTTGGGGAGTTGCACCACATAGTTAAATTGAACTAACCTTGCCTTGTAATAAAACGTCAAATGTTTTTCAAATATTAATAATCACTTAGCAAGTTTGTTTAAAAAAATTACAATAAAAGTAACAAAAATGACAATTTGTTCTTTAATGAGGCTTTTTTATTATTTATTTAAAAAAATTTTTTTTTTATTGTGACAGGATAGTTTAGAGTTGACAGGATGCAAATTGGAGGAGAGAGTGAGGGGGCGAGATCGGGAAAGGTCCCCGAGCCGGGATTCGAACTCAGGACGCACATAGCGCAATGGCGTTGTATGTCGGCACACTGCCCACAAGGCTATCAGCGCCAATAAGATTTTTTTTATTATTCAACTAATATTTTTCAATTATATAAATGTAGATATTTATACTAGCATGATGAATAGTTTATAAATATTATGACCTATTAATGTATAAATATTGTTACATTTTTGGTTGCACCACATAGCATTTTAACTAGCCTTTTCAACGTCTTAACTATTACCCGTCCCCTCAGCGGGACTCCTAAGTTTACTTCACTATATTACAATTAATATTTATTTTATTTATATTAGTTAAAGGGTTCGTTCACCCAAAAATGAAAATTCTGTCATTAATTACTCACCCTCGTGTTGTTCAAAACCCGTAAGACCTTCGTTCATCTTCGGAACACAAATTAAGATATTTTTGATGAAATATGAGAGCTCTTTGACCCTCCCATAGACAGCAAGGTAACTACTACGTTCAAGGTCCAGAAAAGTACCAAGATGATCGACAAAGTAGTCCGTGTGACATCAGTGATTCAACTGTAAAGTTGCGAAGCTACGAGAATACTTTTTTGCGCAAAGAAAACAAAAATAACGACTTTAATCCACATTTTCTTCTCTACTGCGTCTCTTTGGATGCTCGTTCACGACAGTACCATGACCCGAGCGTGTGGTGACCTAGATCTGGCATAATGACGTCATCACGCCGGATCTGGATCAGCGCTGCCACACGCTCGTGTCATGGTACTGTCGTGAATGAGCGTCCAAAGATACTGAGATAAACGCGTCCTCATTTTTGGGTGAACTAACCCTTTAAATGTATTTTATTAAAAAAATGAATGCACTTGGAATTTTAAAAAAATATAAACCTAAAAAAACTGTGTAAGCAACTTTATGTAGTTTTGTATATTTTTTGCAACTTTGGACCCCCCTACAGTTAAATGACTGTCTTAAAGGGATAGTACAGTACACCAAAAATGAAAATTACCCCATGATTTACTCACCCTCGAACCATCCTAGGTGTATATTACTTTCTTCTTTCAGATGAATACAGTCAGAGTTATATTAAAAATATGTTGGCTCTTCCAAGCTTTATAATGGCATTGAATGGGTGTCAAGATTTTGAAGCAAAATAAATGCATCGATTCACTTCAGAAGGCCTGTATTAACCCCCCCCGGAGCCGTGTGAAGCACTTTTTATGATGGATGGATGCACTTTCTTGGGATTCAAAACCTCAACACCCGTTCACTGCCATTATAAAACTTGGAAGAGCCAGGATATATAAGACTCTGATTGTACTCGTCTGAAATAAGAAAGTCATATAGACCTAGGATGGCTTGAGGGTGAGTAAATCATGGGATAATTTTCATTTTTGGGTGAACTATCCCTTTTTAAGCCCTGGACACACCAAGCCGATGGTCGGCCATCAGGCAATGTCGGGTGGTTTTTGAGCGTCGGTCGGCTTTAGTTTATTCAGAGTTTTCTGCACTGTTGGCTCTAGTAGGACTCTAGTAGGCTCTAATAATTCTCCATGCTGAATTGGTGGCAAAACTTGTCGACAAGAAAGAGTACTCCGATTGGCTATTCAGCTTAGCGAATGAGCGCACAAGAAAAAACAGAACTGATGAAAGCAAACCAATGACGGAGTAAAGAGGGAACACAAAGACACTTATTGTATGGCAAGCCGTTTTGGCATTTAAAACTATCCATAACTATCATTTAAGATAGGAACAATTGTATTTTGACGAGTCATAATTATAATTCGACTAGTCACAATGACAATTAGAGATATCTGCCATTATAATTGCACTAGTAAGAATAATAAATTACTTTCAGATATCTACAACTGTATTTTGGATATCTTTAAGAAATCATGAATTAAAGATATCTGCAATATAATTATGACTAGTCAAACACCAGTTAGAGATATCTTGAATTATAATTTTGACTAGTGTTAATTCAGTTAGAGATATCTCTAATTTAATTATCACTAGTAGAATTGTAATTTGAGATATCTCTAATTAGAAGTATGCCTAGTACAAAATCAATTATACATATCTTTAATTACAATTTATACTAGTCAAAACTCTTTTGTAGATATCCGAAAATATTTTCCAATGGAAGTCAATGGAACAATATGACTAGTCGTAATAGCATTGTAGATATCTCGAATGTATATTATGACTAGTCAAAATAACATTGTAGATATCTTCAATGCATATAATGACTAGTCATAATCACATTGTAGATATCTTAATTCCAATTACGACGAGTCAAAATTGCAGAATAGATATCTGGAATTGGAATTTTGACTAGTCAAAACTAAATTATGACTAGTACAGCAAGGAGTATTTAATGCTAAAACGGCTTACCATACTTATTGTCATTCTATTCGCTGCTTGCTGTTCTAGCTTTTTTGGTTCCCCTGTTTGAATGCCTGAATGCAGACTACTGCCACCTGATGGTATGGGAGAGTTATGTTCTCTCACGCAAGTACAGAGCATATCTCTAATTACCTTTGCGTATGTGTGATGCCCTATTGAAGATATCTATGATGTCATTACAGATATCTTAAATGGAGTTTTGACTAGTCATAAAGTATTTAGAGATATCTCTAATCCGATTTCTTACTAGTGCAATTATAATTGCAGATATCTCTAATTGTCATTGTGACTAGTCGAATTATAATTATGATTCGTCAAAATACAATTGGTCCTATCTTAAATTATATTTATGGATAGTTTTAAATGCCAAAACGGCTTGCCATAGTCTGGTGTGTTCTAATGCAACTTTTTTTGCTCCAACAGAGGTGACATGAGGTAACGCAAGGTGACGCCACAGTCAGCTATCCTCAGCGCTAGTTCTTTTTGCGATGGTTTTGTGTGTCCCTACCCTTAAATATACCACTGCCCTAATTACAGTGGATAGCTGTACACATAGACATTATATACATAGATTCCTCATTAACATCTGTTTCTATTGGCAACTATACATAAGTCATCCTCCAATATGGGGGCGGTAAAAGCATGAACCAAGGCGTATGCGTCTGAAATCGCACAGGTACTTTTTTGAACAAGTAATTACTTTGCGACTGCAGACATACCCCTTGTCCAAATACCCACACTTGCGGTCTTGGCCACTTAAGAGCAAGTGCGCACGACAGGAAGTAGGCCTAAGGCCCAATCCCAATTCTACCCCTTTGCCCTTCCCCTTTCCCCTACCCCTCCGTTTCGCGCGTTCACGTGAAGGGGTAGGGGTGTCTCAATTCTCTTTTGGTTGGAGGGGTAGGGGTAGGCGAAGGGCCAGACAGCCCTTCAAACGAAGATTTTTCGGGACCACACTTCAAACGAAGGGGTAGTGTGCAAGTCTGTCCCATGTCTTCAAAATGCCAAAGTGCAGTGCCCTTAATGGATACTAAATCCACACTATCTCGAATACCGCTCTAAAGCGCTATTCAAGGCTAAGTGTATCCTATCATGCATCTTGTTCTGGAAATAAATCGTGAGACTTTTTGCCGAGATCTCGCGAGAGGTCACGGAAACCCTTCCAATGCAAGTTAAACATTCATATAATAATTAGATATTACAAATAATTTGGTAGAAAAACTGTGTTTTTACTTTTATCGGTGCAAAGAGGAGTTGTGGTGATATTTATTTTGTACAACATTTGCAACTGCTTTTTATCATTTAATTAGAAGCACCACAAATTAAAATTATGTCATGTTATAGGGAGTACTGAACAGACATTTAGAAGTTGATTTTAAAATGCAAAGTATGTCCAATTAAAATTAAAATAAAGCTGTGTAAACACTTGCATTTTTACAACACTATAAGTGTGTCCCATCAGGTAATGAAAAGTTCGACACACACTTGTGGTCTTCACATCCACTTGAAGACTTCGGCCAAATACAGGAAATACGTCATTTAAGTAATCAAGTGGTCAAGTGCAAAGACTGCAAGTGTGGGTATTTGGACAAAGCCATAGTATGTTCTATATAGTATATAATCATGTGACCTATCAGCGTCAGTTGTGTCGTGTCACTGCCATTCATAACTCTCTCCTGTGGCCTCGTGGGATAGTGAAGTGTCCATCGTATGCACACTTCAGAATCATGCCAGAAGTAGTACGTCATCTGGGTACTTTTTAACTACTCTTTTATAAGTACTATGAATTTGGGCATACTTCTTTTGTGACATACTGTTTTTCACCTACTATATAATAGGGAAGTATGCCATTTCGGATGCAGCCTAAGTGTTCCGAACATGTCCTGAAAAGTGAAGATCAAATATTTCGAGCGCCATCTGGTAGCTGGCTGCAGTATAGGTCATTAACTCCGCCCTCTCCATGTAAACAAATAGGATGTGAGCCAATGATCAATGATCCCAATGATCATGATTGTGTGTTTGCAATTGGGTCTGTGAGGGTTTGGGCAGGACTTTGATAGCATGGCTCCTCCTTGTAGAGTTGACTGTGCCCCTACAAACATAGTTATATGCATGTATGAATATCATATCTGCAACAGACTTCAGCAGTGATTTTGCTAAATTAACACAATACAAAGAGACGAAGGCGTTAGCTATCATGACAGCAAAAAGTTACAATAGTTTAAAAACCTGTAATACTGAGTTACATACTCCAAGAACAGACATTTAAATTGAAATGTATCGTTTCAGGCTGTTTAGATATTTACTCAAAAAATATACATATTGTATTTCTGCGGCATCATTATTTATTTGTACTTGCATTCAATTCTGTGTGAAGGATCAGTCAGTTGAAATCAATCAGTTAAAGTGTTTGGCCAGAGGGAGATGCTCTTACCCACAAATGTTTCTACATAGTAAAGACTATGTGGTTCACTGACAGAACAACATTGAAGCTCTATCTGAAAATAGTGTTGGTTGAGATTGTGACTGATGAAAGTTCTCCGATTCCACTCACTACACCAACGGCCAGGTTTCTAAACCCACGTATAAACAGAACATCCAGGAGCAGTACAATTGCGATAAACCAAGGCGAATAAAAGAACAGACTGAATAAAACACACATGATGCAAAAACCAGCATATTTTCACACCCCCAGTAGTCTTACCACTAGGCACTACGCAAATGATTCATAAGGACATAAGGATACAATTGGTTTTAATTTGCCATTAGTGTGTGGTGACATGCCGTGCCATTGTGGTTGGTGAACAGAAAGTAGTCTATTGACTAAAAGTTTCCTTTGTATTTATAATCAATGCCTAATGTATGCTTGTGAACGTCCGAGAAATTCTGTAAAAGGCATTTTTACTTTTTAAATTTTTCTAAATGATAATAATAATTTTATTTGTAGGCTATACATAAGAAATAATGAGAAAGAACAGAAGTACACTATCCTGAATTTTTTTTTTTCATTTTTTGTCTTCAAAGAAACAGCGTGGTTTGCAAAATTCATTTTATAACAGTAGTTGACATGTCCACCACTATGCTATACTATAATATTGGCGAATCCAAACTGACATCATGAAAACACTATAGGAAACATATGCTGTCATATTTCTCAGTTAGACATGTAAATGTGTAAAACCTTTTATCACAGTTAGGAAAATTAAACCCTCAAACCTGCATGACCACAACATGCACAAGAACTAAGAAAGCGTTTGCCGCTTACTGAAACTGTTAACAGGTTATGGGGAAGAAAGTTCAGGGGGTATTTTTGTATCTCTACACCATGGCAACAACCCTTTAGGAACAGCATTTTTTAAATAAATTTTATTTAGTGACTTTCACAGGGCAATATGACCTAAAAAAAGTTTCAAAGTTTTACCATAATTAACCGGTGCAAACATCGGAAAGATTTGCAGCGCGACTACTCATCAAAGCGGCCGTTGACCTGAACTTCCCAACTGAAATCATCTGAAGGGTTAAAGACAAGCTCTCATGACATTCAGAAGTTTCATTTTCCACATTATGCTTGCCTATATGATTCATATTTTGGACCCACAGTTGATGAAGAATCTCATATGCTGTTTGTGAACTAAAAAGAGTTTATACCGAATATATATGTTACTTGGATTATTTAGATGTGTATCCAGTAGGCTATGTATTATTGAATTACGTATTCAAATTTATTTATTTTTGGTGCATCCTCCTGCTTCTTCCATATTCTTACATAATCTGTGTCTGTCTGTCTGAATCAGATTCACTAAATGCCACGTCAAATATTTATTATAAACTGACGAATCTAGCATTCAGTTGTGATTAAGAATACATTAAGACTACAGTTTTTTTTATGGACTCAGTCTCACCTATTGAAAATAATTAAATAATAGACGATTGAAATAATAAAGCTTTTGGTGTTGCCAAATTCGTATATTTTTCATATCACAAAGCATGGGCTATTTTGTTGTTGTTTCTAGCTACTCAAATTTTGTAGAAAAAAGTGTAGCTATATATGTATGTATTGCAATTATACATTTGAATTAGCGGTAGTAAAATATTACTAAAGATCTAGTTAAATGATTAGTACAAAATGTGGAGATTCAACCACAAAGTACCTCACCTGCTTACTGAAGCATTTCATTTTTACTTCCTTGATAGCAAGATCCATGGTTCACATCAAATCCTCCTCTTCTCACCCAGGTAAAGTACAGTTCTCATTCATGTAACCTGTAATCCATAAGTCTCATATCATTAACCCTGTCTCTTTCATGAACCCTTCTGCAATATGTCAGGACAAAATAAGCAAGAGGCAAAAAATATTCAGATGAAATCTCACAAATAAAAAAGTTTTTTTGCACATTTAATTATTGTATTTTTGATTAATAAACATGGTAGATATGATTTATAATTTGTTTATCATACTGCAAATGAAAGGTCAAGTTAAGTGCACTGCATTATTAAGCCTTCAGTTCTGACTCAGGTTGTTTTTCTAACCAATCACACTGTTTTTTTGCTTAGCGGATGATCAAAAAATCCCCAAAATCCCACTAAAAATTTCTGACTGAGTGACTGTACAGATTTGTTCATGCAACCTCACATCATTCTGTATTATGACTTTGTTCTTTGTAGTTTACACACATTTAAGAAATGAATTCATTACCCTTACTTAATTTAATTTAAAACGGTTTAATTAAACACACCCACTGCTCTGTGTGGACTTGGATATCGGTTAAATGCAGAGCACAAATCCTGAGTATAGGTTACTAAACTTGGCCACACGTCAGGTCACTTCACTTAACATGTCTTTCCCTTTACTGAAAAACAAATAAAAGTCCCTGAATCCCTGAATTTGCTCTCCAAATGCAGTCCTTTGCAAAGCATGCTGGGAACTAGAGATTCACTGTCCAGTTTGTCAACAAAAATGATTAATGTAGTTTTAACACAAATTAAGTAAACTTCAATTTTGAATATATTATGTAGTGTGAACACAATGAAATTAGTAAAGACCCGCCCCTATTCGTTACTGTTGCAACATTCAATGATCCATGGCGCTCTCACACATCATGTTCCCATGCACTAAGAAATAAATCACAGAGAAAAGATGAAACTGACAACGCGCCGACAGACAAGACAAAGCAGGTTACTTTTGGTATGAAACAAAGTCTCGGTTTAAAAATGTTGGCATTTTGTAAGAAATTCAAAATACCGTAAAAATTTGTTATAAATACCGTTTTGTGGCCCTTTAATGTGTTGCGACAGATCGTTGTAGCGCCTCAGTTCAAGCTGCTCAAGAGCAGTGTTGGGCTAGTTACTCAAAGAATGTAATATATTGCTCATTACTAGTTACTCCTTTCAAAAGTAATATTGTTACTTATTACTTTCTGGCAACAGTAATTAGTTACACTACTAGTTACATTACTTTTTATTCACATATTCTTCCACATAAAATTCTTCTTACTAACAACATATTTCTGCCTCATAATTTGACCAAAATCCACATTGGATCGCAGTCAGAAGTTATTACAAACACTCAATATTGATTGAAAGTGACATTCAAGTAGAAGTGTTGTATTAATCTCATTAATTGTCATGTGTAGCTTGAAGCTAATTGTAATTTCTCCGTTACCCATATACGATTATATTTCATTATGTATTTTATCAAATAATATAAGTTTGTAAGAAACTGTTTAATTTTCCAAAAAGATTTTTAATTATAGTAATATAATGTACCACATGCTGATCAGAGGGTTGTGGGTGGGATGCAATGCCAGAGTAAAGTAAAGCCACAACTTGCACAACAGATCATCTTTTTTCCTGACAAAATCAATATAATACAATATTTCTATCTGCTGAATGTAAGCTTTTCCATATTCCAAGCTTGCCTGCTTCACTGGGGACATCACATGCATGTGTGAGTCGTGAAAATTGTGAAAATAAATCTAGGAATTATTTGATTGTTGAATTTTACATCAGTGGGTTGAGGCATCAAAAGTAACTAAACAGTTTTATGGATAGTAACTGTAATATTATTACTGAAATCTTATTAGTAATTAGTTACACTACTAGTTACTGCAAAAAGTAATATTATTACAGTGACTAAGTTACTAGTAACTAGTTACTGCCCAACACTGCTCAAGAACCAATCATCTTTTTGCATTTACTAGTTAAAGCACAAAATAAACCTGAATGAACATCAGAAGTTATCTTGTTTCAATCAACTTCAACTAAACCGTCGTTAATCTATTCTCCAGTCTGGTTTTTTGTCAGACAGAATGGCAGATTCTGCATTATAATTGGTCCGATCGCCTGTCAATCAAACTCCCCGCAAAGGGTCAATTAAGTGGCTACAAAATTGTCAATAATCATGTTATTTAGCTCATTTTAATTCATTCAACTGAACAAGAAGCAAAAAAATAACAATTTCAGTGCAGATTAAAATGGTCCTGTGTAACGTAAACATTTAGGCTTAAAGACAGAATTGCGTAACTGCTTGAAATAACATGAGAAGTAAAGGAAAAAATTATAGAAGGTGATTTCCGTAAAACAAAAATAAACATTAACACACAATTCCAAAAGGGATTTCCCTCAGATTTCCCCTCAGACATGAGACAATGGGGAGTGTCATAAATTAAATAGTACATTTAGTATAGGCCTATATCTATATATAATAAATATAGACCCCCCCACCCCCCCAAAC